GATATAAAAGATTGAGCACTGTTGTATTAATTAATACTGCAAGTGGGGAAAAGAGGCATATCTCCTGTTGAAGCCATACAGTCTGGTCAGGAGGGTCATCTGTGCAAGACAGCTTAGATGTCTTCCTTAAAGATCTGTAATCCATAATTGCCAGTCACGGACTTGTGCAAAGAGATAAGGATGGGTTCAAGATAAGAATCTATAGGCCGTAAATCTTCATTGCAGCGGAGAGTCAGCAAAACACACTGAGATTTCTGCATGTATTTCTCTGCTATTTCTTTTTTCACTTTGATATCTTCTTTGCCATCTTCCTCACAGGGGCTGGGAAGAAGATTAGGTGAGCAGAGCTCAATGCAATATTTTAATCTTTAAGTATATACTGTAATACATAGTATTAATAGCATCACTATTTCATCTTGCACATATCTTCAAAAGTACCCTTTTGTTTGACTTCTGTTCTTGCTCAGTCACCTATACTTGCTGAAGTTTTTAGTGGGCAATGTTGGTGGTAGGTGGATGGTTGGACTAGATGATCATAGTGGTCTTTTCCAACCTTAATGATTCTATGGTTCTATGATTCTGTAAATAATTTGGAGAAAGCAGGAGATCTCTTGGTTATTCTTCATTCTTCTCCTGACCAAAAGCCTCAAGGGGAGTCCTTCAGACTGGAGAAACAGGGTTTGCCCACAGTTTGAGGTCATGCACACATAGCAGAGTTTGTACATAGCAACACCTCTCTAGAAAAACAGATGATTTTGAGTCATCACCAAGGAGTGATTTATGACACATACTTGATTTAGGGATGGATTCGCTCTTCCTTGGAAGGCCCTAAAGGACTCCTGAGACAAGTTCATCATTGAGGGCATCAGCCATCAGGGCCACGTCACAGTCTCATTACAAGCTGTGTGGTGTGTCAGAACTGGTTGTCAGCATGTCACTAGCTGCAGACTCAGATTTGGTGGCTCATAGGGCAGCAATAGGACAGGCTGTCAAGGCTGGATGCTGACATCACTAACTGGCTCCCAGGCCATGCTCCTCATCTGCTGAGCTCGTTTCCTGTTTCTTCTCAGCTCTGGGCCTCTCTCCTACACCATGGCTGAGCATGCCAGGGACACAGCTGCTTGCCTGATCTGCAAGGCTCCTGCAGCTGCTCTGGCACCAGGGTCCCATAGCAGGAAAAGATGCTGCAGGCCAATGCTGCTGTTTGTGCTGTGTTTTTTCCACAGATGTGTTGCTATGTGTGAAGTTACTATGTCTGCACGGTCTCAAACTGTGGGCAAATCCTGTTCATCCAGTCTTAAGAACTCTGCTTGGGGCTCTTGGTCAGGGAAGATGTAAAGGGGAGCTCTCCTCCCCTAAAATTAGGTCACTGGTTGCAGGGGCTGTGCACACAGCAGAACACTGCTGAAAACGAACATCCCAGGTATGGGCAAGTGCCACTCTTGGTCACACGATGTGCCTCTATTGTCCCTCCCTTGACCCAGCATGTGGGCTCTCTTGTGAGCAGGGTGAAAAAAAATCCTAGGGATTTCTCGTATTTGGCAGATGGCTTTGTAGTAAAATAAATAAAGAAAATGGAGCCAGCAAGGCTCCCGTTTACCTCAAGCCCTATAAACACAGGTGTTTATAGTATTTAAATCACTTGAAATGATAGTTAATTGTCTAAGCACAGTACGGGTAACAAGACAGAGAGCAAAGTTTTCCTGGGAGGAGTTTGCACATGTTTTCAATTAGCAGTCAGCCAGCAGTCAGGGCAGAGGGAAAGGCATGAGAACAGCATTTCACCATGACCTCACTGAGAGATTTCCCAGCTTTGAGCACAGCTCTGTGGCATACTGAACAAGTGGAAGAAAGCATAACTGGTTCTGGGCTACTGGCTGCTTTGTTAGTGTCTTCTCTTTTATTTTAGGGTGAGCTGTCTGAAGAAAGGCACTCAGAAAGATGAAAAGATAGGCACACACTTTTGCTCTGTGAGCAGAGACAGAAACAGAGGCTTCAGGATGCTCTGTGGCTGCCATACAGATCATAGAGTCACAGAATATCCTGAGTTGGAAGAGACCCATAAGGATCAGCAAATCCAACTCCTGGCTCCACAAAGGACCACCCATCATTCAAACCATATTTCTGAGAGCATTGCCCTAGTGCTCCTTGAACTCCAGCAGTTTACTTCCATGGGGAGGCTGTTCCAGGGCCTGACCCTCCCCTGATGGAGCCTCATGCCGTTCTCTCGGGTCCTGTCACTGTCAGCAGTGAGCAGAGATCAGCACTGCCCATCCACTCCTCCACTCCCCTCATGAGGAGTAGGCTGCCATACTGCATACGTGGCCAATGTATGAACAGCCAGCCCAGTCATGCTGGGTATCAGGACATCGTGGCACATTTGTGTTGGGGCTTGTGACAGCAAGCAGTCAGGAGGGCTGGAAGGAAGTGAGGGGAGGGACCAGGCTCCACTCCTCCCAGTGCCTGTGCATTGGCGTCTGGCTGAGGGCAGTGCAGATGTTGGGCTGTTAGCAGTCCCTCGGGATGTGGGATCACAGCCCACGATGAGTTGAAAACCGCTGGCACATCTGCTAACTCTTAAAAACAGAGCCTTTTAGACTGACGATAAATGAAAGCCTTGCAATCTCTGTAGCTCGTGCAGAAGAAATTACAGGGCTCAGCATATATATGGACAGTCAGGTGGTTTCTGTATGTTTGGGCTGCCACACAGGAAGGCCACTCCCCAGCAAGCTCAGTTCCCTGCAACCGACCATAGTGGGTCAGCAGCTTTGCACCCCAGAGCTGCACATCCACAGCCATTCAGCATGTATATAGGCATCTGACCCGCTGATGTGTCACCTACTCTCCTTCCTACGCTGTCTGCCTTTTGGTTTTGATATCAGTAAAAGTTTCAGTAGGAAACAGTGGTTACTGTGTTAGATGTTGGAACGTTCCATGCCAGTTTCCCGGTGGGTTTGTGTGCCGGGTGCCTCTGCAGCAGCCCAGGTGAGAAGTATGTGGGGCTGGCTTTCGTGGTGAAGGCAGGGAGCTGTGAAGCCTCCCCTGGGGTGAGCTGTGGAGGTACTGCGGGCTGTTGGCTGTCCTGGCTTCTCTCACTGAGGCTTAGCAAGGCTGCACAGAGCTGCAGATGCCTGTCTTGATTACTAATGAGAGAAAATCCCAACTGCTTGGCTGCTTTCCCTCAGAGTACACTGCACACTGTTGTTGCTGAGGTGGATTTTTTTCTTTTCCATCAGATGTGGGACAGGCACATACTTGCAGATGGGGCAACGTGGAGCCACCCAGGCCTGCATGCACCCAGCAGTTAGGAAGATGAAGTGTGCTGATCTGCAGGTCAGGGCTGAGGCATCAAGCACCACCCAGCTAACACACAACCTATGGATCCTGTGGATGAGTTAATTCATGTTTACAGCCTTTCAGAGAGTCTCCATGCGAAGCTACTTGACTGTGGTGCACACCAGCCAGATCAGGATACGCTGCTGTGCTTCTAGGCCTGTTTCTACTGTCAGAGGAGGGAGCACGCTGTGCCAAAGAGGTGGCAGTGAAGCTCACATAAAGGAATAAATGCAAAATGAGGGATGTCGAGCAGTAGAAAGGCTTATTATTTTGTGTGACAACCGTCAAGTAAGCCTGGCTGCTCCAGAAACAGTCTCGTTTTATTTGGGTCTGTAATTTGAGGAGAGCTGGCAGCTCCAAAGTCATGCTTTTGTCAGGAAAGTTTGTATGTGGTCACATCACACCAGTAACTCAACTTGGGCTGATGCAGGCAGAAACATCCCATGAATGTTGGCCCCAGACTGTGCGGGTTTGACAGCTCTTTCTGTACCTCTGTCTTTTAAATAGAGATTGCACTTAGACAAGTTTAGTGCTTAGCATTTTAGTACATTGAGGTGACTTCTCACAGACTGCTTTGCAGATGTCTACTTTTGGCTTGTTTTTTCTTTTTTTTCATTGTTTTAATTTTTGTGTAGATGGTTTTGGTTTATCAGGTCTTTTTCTGCTCCAACTTTCACTCATCTTATTTATGCATTTATTTGTTTTAACTAGTGAATCTTGTAGACTTTAGTAGTCTCTTAGGTATTTCAGTTCACACGTGTATCTTATGCACTGGAAAAACTGCACACATATAGAGGCAAATCAATGGTTGGATTAGAACAAGTGCAGTTGCAACACCAGAAATAATGGGGCTGTTAGAGAGATGTCAGATACTGGGGTTTGCTTCACATCATACACCTGTACGTGCATATGACCTGTGCTAGATTTCCCTGGCCCTGCTAGGAGGGAAGCTATGGACACCCTGCAGAATATATATATGGAATATGGTATTACATTTGAAAATCACCCTATCAAGCAATTCAAAATTAGAAGCATTGTAATGCATCATTCTGGACAACAGAACACAAAATTTCCATGTCAGTCTTTTCTGCAGCTCTGTGATAATTCTGTAATTAAAAAAATCAAAAATCCAAACAGTTGTTTTGCACTTGAAGAATGTGGTACTGAGAAATCTGTGGACTTGTCATTGGGATTTACATGTCTGCTCTCGAAGCCTTTTGTTTAGTTTGTGTTTTGCCTTTTCATCTGATCTGTGGGTTGTGTTTTTTGGCGTTCTTAGGTTTTCTTCTGCTTTTTATTGACAGAAAAAGGATGAATCATGGTTCTGGGAAGCAGCAAACAGCATTTTGATTATTGTTGCTGGCAATACTGTGTAGCAAAACTGGGTGAGGGTGTAGGTGGTTCTACTTCTGCTTGTCTTGCAGCTCCTAAACGTGATCATAAACAGCTGAACTTGTGTCAGGCCTGAGACTGTGTAACTACACCCACCTTTGTTTGGGTACATATTTTATCATCAGTGTGGGTTAGAAGTCTTATTTCTGGAAGGCACAATATTTGAGTTCTTTCCACATCTTCATGAGCTGGTGCTTCTGGCTGCTTAAGTGTGTGTACACATGAAAATGTGTACGAAGCCTATGCCCACAGTCTGTTTACTTTGTTTCTAGGGCTCATCACAATAAAAGAAGCCCATGATATAGAAGCCAGACTTAATGAAGTGGAAAAGCTTCTGAAGACTATAATAAACATGCCATGGAAGGTGAGTAAGCCAAGTTCCACACTTAGCCCAGCTTGACTCTGCCTTGATGGTGACACACACTTGCATGCAGATTAGGAAGTGGTGGCTTGTGCCAAAATGTAAAAGAAGCAACAATTCACTGAATATCTTGGAGAAGTGCTGAGTGTCAGAACTATGTAATGATGTCTCCAGGCAGTTGCTTGTAATAAGTCTTTCTGTTGTACTAGGAAGTGATGTAAAGGGTGGAGAGAAACAAAGCAAAGTGTTGGTAATAGAAATGGATGTCTCTTTCTTTTTTTAAGTATTCAAGATCTGAAGTAGTCCTCACATTCTTTGAGAGATCTCCTTTGGACCAAGTTCTAAAGAATGACAATGTCCATAAAATTCAACCAAGCTTTCAAAGTCCAGTTAAAATATCAGGTAAGAGTTGTTTGCTTCTAACAGTCATCTAAATAATTCGTTGTTCTCTTTGTTCTTTCTCCAAGAAAATAGCAAAAGCAGTCGTGAGAATATTAAATACTGTTAGGAAAGAAGGAAGGAGAAGCATTGCACCTTGAACACAGTGTGCGCAATTTTGGTCTCTCTACCTCGGACAGGAAATAATTAAATCTTAAAACACACAAATAAAGTATAGGGTTTATAGTCATTGAACAGCTTCTCCAAGAAAAAGGTCAAAGAATTACACTGAATCTTTGAAAAGAGATAACAGTAGGGTTATGATGGAAGTCTACAAAACTGAATGAGAGAAGGTTTAGTTATCATGTACTTCTCACCAAACAATAACATCAATTATCCAGTAAAGCTGGCAGATAATAGGCTATAAACAAACAAAACAAAGGCTAAATATTCTGCTGTTTTCATCCAGAGCTTGGCTAGGGAGTGAAGTCATTGTCATAAGATATCATGGAACTGAAAGTATGAATGACTTCAAAAAGGAATTAAGCAAGCAAATGGATGAAGAGTACATTGAGACCTGTCACAGATGGAGACAGTAGCAAGTTTCTAAACCACAGCCTGCTGGAAGGTAAACTGGAGAGCAGTATCATTCTATACTCACCCATCCTTTCAGCCCACCCCCACTGAATCTGCTACTGTCTGTTGTTAAAAGGAGTAAGGACATTTGGTGTGTACAGATTTGTATTTCTCTATTGAAAAGTTTCCTTTGAGCTTAATGGGAACTGCAGATTTCTCCTTAGGAGCTTGCAGTCTGTGATCTATCCAAAGAGGTGGCAGTTTTAGGGTCACCAAAAGGGCTTATTTTGGTGAATGAAGTAAGAGTGAAATACCACATAGTTCTCCAAGGTGCATAAGATCTTTAGGATGAAATATATCTGCTTTCATAGGTACTAACAGTACTTAGCTTAATGACTAGGCAGCGTGTCAACATGCTAAAGATGTAGACAGTGTGTCTTAAGGATTGATCTCATGAACAGGGTAGATTTCTATTTTTGTTTCTGGTCCTGAGCTCTGGTACTAAGCAAATTAGTCATGGGTTAAATATTCTTTTAATTAAATGGTAAATTGCTTAGGAGCCCACCAATAACTATTTTGAAACATACTGCCTAACACAGTGCCTAGGCAAAAAAAAGTGGTCTTGCCAGCCAGTCTGGTGCTTTCTCATTGAGCCCCTGAGCAGAGGCTGCAGTGCAGCACAGGATAGTGCTCATCAAGCAGCGCCCCAGGAGCTGTACTGCAAAGAGGATGGTGCAGGTCTGGCTCCTTGAGCCCAGGAGGTAGGAGCCAGCAAGTGTGTTTAATGTTCCTCTTGTGAGTAGGGAGCTTTGGATGATGTGCTGAGTTGATGTAGAAATCAAAGGTGAAATTTCTCATGTGTGTGTTTCCTGGCATTTGTCATCCTCCACAGGTTGGATGTGGTTTACATGCTTTTCTTCTGAGCACATGGAAATGTTTTCAGTACAGAACCCTGAGAACATATTCACTGTTTTCTGTCCGAAATATATTGCTGCCCTGTGAGAGCAGGGGCTGCAAAGTGAGTCCTTGCACCTGCCTATTATGAGTGGAGAGATCCAGCAGTACATAGGTGACTCCGAAAGTAGCATCTCCTACTTATTTCTGTGGAAATTACAACAGATACAAAGAGCACAATCACACAGTTTGGGAGAGCAAATTTTCAGCTACAAAACGCTATTTTTCAACGTAGTCACCCCCATGTTAGCAGAACAATAACATGTTTTTATTTTAAGTGAACTAAATTGATTTTAGTAGCTGAGTCATACCTAATTAATTGGAGGAAGAACGGAGGAAGGCTTATGCAGCTATTCAGAAGCACCATGTGGTAGTCTGTTTCATCATCTAACTGGTTGCCAAAAATAAATTTTTAGAACTTAGGTGGCAATCTGATGATGAAATGATATTTGCCTCATCTGAATATTGCACACTGGGAATGGTTTTGGAGTCTGTCGGTGTTGTCAGTAGGTGGCAGTAAATGTTAACAAAGCAGTTTGAACTGCAATAAAATGCTGTAATTTTTAGGTCATGGCAAGGACAGTAGGAAAAATTGTGGCATTCTTTTTGGTCATAGTGCAGCTTTCTGCATGCCTTGCAGGCTCAGAAAAATAGATCAACAAATTCTGTGCGCTCTGAAAAAAACAAACTGCCCATTGTGTGGGCCTGTTCAGAGTGATGAGTGATGGGGAAGAGAGAAAGCTCCTCCTCTTTGATGGAAGCTGAATTTGAATTTATGGTTTAAATTGTATTCTGCAGCACAATGCTGGCTTAATATGAGTCTTGGCTGAAGTGTGAATGTGTTGGTTTTCTATGTCTTAGCACCCCCAAACATATTCTGCTGAAGCAGGTTGCAACACAGTACAGACTTTCTTCAGAAAACTATGAAAGTGAATTCTAGCTTGGCTTTTATGCAGTAATATGCAGATGTACACTTAAAAATTACCTCCTTCCTCTCTCTATTCTCCTTTCCCACTCTTTAGAGAAGTACATTCCTGTTGTGTTGGCATCATCTGACATTGTATGATTAGAAAAAGTCCTTGTGACTTGCCTAGTTTGCCTTTCTATATAATACGAATATGGTTAAACTTCTCATTCACAACAAATACTGCTCTTTAGTTTTAAACACTTTCCCTGGTAGTTAGTGAGTGGAATTAGATGTAAGTTTAGCCTTTCTGGATTGGAGACTTGTTACACAATGACAAACAAGTAGAATTGGGGGCAGCATAGAAGACAGTATTGTTTTACATAACTTAATTATGATTGCTCAGATAATTTGGAATGTAACTTTTTATTTCCTTTCTCCTGTTATGGGCTTTTTTTTTGCTTGTTTTTTCTTTTTTTTCTTTTTTTTTTTTTTTTTCCCTGCTTAACTTGTTTAAGCCTTGGAAATCTGTCCAGGAAAAACACAATTATGAGAAATGGTAGATTGCAACTATACGGATGGGCTCCCATTCTGCTAAAAGTGATGCCTATTTTGCCACTGGCATTATTGGACTGAAACCAGGCCTTGCTTCAGATGCTCTGTATCAGGAATTGATTATGCGAATAGGATTGCTTAAGCACTGGCAATCTGTAGGTGTAAGAAGCTGTGGAACAAACTCTTTTTCTGCTTTCCTGTACAGATGTTCAGTGTTATATGCACATCCCTTTTCACAATCATGTCAACTATGTATGATGTGCAGTTACTTCCAGCTTTCTGTTTCTTGGATTCTCATCTTGTTTCTCTTTATTCTTCTGACAGAAATCATGCGATCAAATGGATTTTGTTTAGCGAACACTGAAACAATAGTCATCGACCACAGTATACCCAATGGAAAAGAGAAGCACCTGGATGTGGATTCAGCAGAACACTTGTAAGTGTGGTTTATGCACACTTAATGCTGTCAGGCTTCAGATCAACAGTCACTTTTTGGCTGTTTTTTATTTCCATAGCAAGATGCTATTCTCTGTGTAGGAGCAAGACTGGTGCAGTTGTCGTTCTAACTGGTTGAAGATTACTGGGTCTGATGGCTAAGGCTTCACAGCTCTTTACATTAAAATGGATTCAATGGCTCTCTAGAAATTGATCTCAGTTGGTCCTGTCTGTAAGAAAAAAGCTGTGGCTATCATAGGGATTCTGCTAGTGAGAATAGAGGAACTTCTTTCTCTCATGACCGTGAAGAGAGCTGACTTGAGTCCAAATGTGGAAACTGAAGGATCCCCACAGGCAGACTATCCCAAATATTTCTTAGGGAAGCAAAACACCATTCTGTGACGAGGGAAATATATCCCTGAACTTTATCAAATGAAGCTGGGCAGCTGCTCAGGTGCTGCTACACTCTTTGAGTTGCTGAAACATGTATTTCATTAAGGAGGAAGCATGTTAGATTAGCCTTATTTGTAAATTCTGCCTGCTAATGCGTGTAGATATTTTGGGGTCAGAGACCAGTAACCAGGAAGGCTTTCATTTAGGTCTTAAGTCAGTGCTGTATTGACAGATGGGTACCGATGGAAGTCAGCTCCTGTTGATTTCTGTCATGGAAAGTGATTGATGTTTTGGTGAGCTTCAAGTAATGAAACATTTAAATATTTTCAGTGAGAAACATTGACCTGTATTTTCATTAGAGCAATCAAAATGATGGAAACAGAACCCTAAAAGCCTTATGGAGGCTTTATCTTTGAATTCGTCTTGCCACATTTGAAATGTGATCATTGCCAGTCTGCAGAAGGGCTTACAGGTTGACAAGATTTTGTCAGAGTCTGAAATGTATCTGGCTCCACTGCAATTTCTCAAAGTCTTTCTGTTAATTTTTATAAGAAAAAATGTTTAACACTTACTGTTTTGAGCCTAAAACTTACTAACAGCATTTAAATTCATACGCTTTTACTAATGAGGCCGAAATGATGCACTGGACGTAATTAAATGAGACCACTGTCTGGACATTAAAGTTGATAGCTCCTAGTAGATCATCTTTTAGTATCGAGAATGATAAATGGTCTCCCTGATCTAGTGGGAGGTGTCCCTGCCTACAGCAGGGTGGTTGGATCTAGATGATCTTAGAAGTCCCTTCCAACCCAAACCACTCTATGATTCTATGAAATTATTAGAGCAGATTACCAAAGAAGGCCTCGTCCTGCCTCATTTTTATTATTTCAAAAGGTATTGATTTAAAAGAATGCTTTGGCACAAGGAAAACTTAGTGGTCTGGGATCAAAAACTTATTCATCTAGTTGTCATCCCAATGTTTGTCCTACACAAAAAATCAGAAAATACTGAGGCAGGAAAATATTAATATGATAAAAACTGGGTGGTAGGTGTGGTTTCCCAGAAACTGTGGTGGAAGAAATTAATCCAAAATAACAGCTCAGCTTTGTGCATCTTTATTTTAACTCCCCTGAAAGAAGTTAAATTGAGTACAAAGAAGTTAATAAATTTTAAATGTCTGTTGTACATGGTGACCTAAACTTAGCTGTATTTTATATCTGGGAGGTAGTGGCCTGGAAGTAATGGCACTCACGTAGAAAAGCTGTCTTGTAAAGACTGAATTATTTTTAAATACAAAAGTTTCCTATAATTTTAAGTGTAGACTAGGAACCTGGAAAGGAAGTTTATAAACCTTTCAAAACCCTTTGCAGTTCCTTTTTGTTTTCTGTAAATTTGGATTTACAGGATTCATATTTTCTATTCTGAAATTAGACTTAATTCCTTGTGGACTTGTCTATCCTCAAATGGGGAGTTTTTCCTTTCAGTAAAAATCCATACGCGTTTTGGTTGCTGATGTACTTGAATCAGACATTTTGCAAAGCAAGCGTATTTTTTTGATAGAAGCACCCAATAGCATTCATTTGCCAAGGCCCTGCTACACTGGTTAGCTGTTGGATTGCTTGCTGGGTTAGCCACCGAGTGGTCCATCATCTGAAAAATCTGAAACTTCTTGCAAAAGAAACTATCGTGTTTTTGCAAGCTGGAGTTGCTTACTCTGTTATTGCTTTTTGCTTCCTTCATTTTCTCTAATTTTAGTTGGCAGAATACCACATTGTTGCAAAATGTGGTGAACCCAGTGTGCTCAGCCTCCATGTGGCAAAAGCAGCTCTTATGTGCTTCTTTCAGTACTCTGCAGTGCTTCTCAAAGCAGAGGTGGTAAATAAATGCATCCAAACTCTTTGGTTTTATTACATAGAAGTACCTTCCTCTGCCAGGGCTGTTTCCACTTCTGTCTTTCCAGCCAGCAGCAGGCAGCAGAGGCTTTGGAACTGGACATGCTGCCTTTTTGGCAAACTTGCTCCAGTAACAGGCATATATTTTAAGGACAGTGGTGGTGGTGGTGCAAGCATCTTGTTGTTCACAGGAGAAACTTTCATGTGTGGCAATGCAAAAGCAGCATGGAGCTGGTAAAGTTAGGTGCAGAAGGTTTTCAGGAAAAAAAAATCCTACACTTGACAAGAAAAGGAAATGCTGCTCCTATGCTTTTTATTCTTAAATGGAAGGAGTTCTGTTCAGATACTGCTTGCACATAATGTGTTGAGAGTTCTGTAAACTTTATTTTAGGGAAAGACCTATTGGTAGTTTTATGTGTTACACAGCTTCTAGTTGTAACTGATTTACTGGGTTTGGTTTCTTCCAAGCACTGCAGAGCATTGCTTTGCAGACTTCTGTGCCTGCACTTTCTTTCCAGCAGCAAAGAATGCTTTCTGCCTTCCCACAGCATGTGAATGTCACTTCTTTGTATCTCACATGCTGCTTGTAGTACCTTATCAGCGAGACTGAAGTACTACAAAATCTGTGTGGCCTTCCAGGTGCAATAGTCTGATTTTCTATAATTGGCGAGAGAAAGAAAGCTGAGTCTGAATAGCTTTCTTGCTTCCTTTTCTGGCATTGTCATTCTGTCTGCCCCACTGGTGTTTCGTAACTGTTGTTCCTGGGCCTCTAGTGGTCTGTAGGACAGCACAACATCAGCTGGGAGTTAGCTGCCAGAAACTAAGTCAAATCCCTTCTGCACATGTTCCCACGCATGCAGGCAAGCAAACAACTTGGAGGGAGCAGGGAAATGAAGGCAATAAATATTTGAAGCTCAGTTGACACTGAGTTCTTCCATGGTTGTGAGTAAAGATCATAGCAACAGCACTGCAGGAGAAAATCCTTGAGTTTCCATTCAAAAAGTTGTGGTTCTCATAGTTTAGGATTGAGAAGGACCGGCAGGAGTGTGGAAAAGGGACAGAGCCATCTGTGTCCATACATTCTAGGATGTAGGCACTCTGCTATCCAATAAGCTGTGATGCTTTCCAAGAAATTGAGTTTTGAGAAGAGGGAGGAGTGGGAGATGTTATCTGTTTCTTTATCCTACCAGTCTTTTTAGATCTTGTGACGTACTTGATTCTTAGGTCTCTCTCGGTTGAAGTTAGAAGGATGTCTGCAATTGCATTATTTAACTGCAGGAGTCCAACTGCCATAGGGAGGGCAGCAAGACTCTGTAGGAGGGATGCTGTAGTCATTGTTTCCTATTTGTCTTGAACATTTGTCTTTATAAAAAGACAAATGCAGGGACTCTCACCCTTTCACTTCATAGGTACAAGTTCAATCTGCATACAAAGGCAGTTTCCGTTCTGCATTTGTGTGGGAACCGAGGCATTTCATGTCACTGCCAAATGCTGTGAGAATAAAATGGAAGAATGTGGACCTCAGCTTCATGACTCACTTTTCCAGAGCTCACTTGCAGCTTCCTTCCTTAACACTAGTAGCTTTGAAATTCAGAGAGAACAAGATGACTTATGTGCACGCACCATAGTTCTCATTGTCCTATGGTTGATTCATAAACGTGGCTGTGATGAGAAGAAGGTGGATGGGATCAGTTCTGAGTAGTTTCTGTGTGATTTTTCTAGACTCGGAAAGCTCTAATTCCAGAGGTATCCAGAGTTGCCTAATAAAGGCTGTGTCCCAGGAAATTATTTGTTTGTTAGTAGGAGAAAAGTCCTAGAAGTTGAAAATGAATTTATCATGGTTTTGATCCAGGTCAACTTCAACTGAACATAGAACTAGATGTCATGAGATGTAAAGTTCAGGTATGATAATGACAAGTGCTGTGAAGAGTCTGTGTCGTACTGGAGAGAAGTCATAAAAAGCTCCTTTCAGTGCAGACTGCTATCTAAAGAGATTGAGAATTTGCTTTCTTAACGTGCTGTGTATTTGTGTTTTGGCACAGCTGTAAAAGGGAATAGCTCTCTTGTTTTACTGAAAGCAAACTCCTTTGCTCATTCGTCTCCATAGGGGTTACAAAGAAGGTTTTCTGTTTATTTAAGGGCATGGAGAGCAATGTTTTTCACTTATATCTCAACCCTCTTTAGTGAGTGCTGCATTTTGGTTCACATAAGTGACAGAAGATATAATTTCTGGTCTTTCAGCATCAGGAGAATGATATGTAGGCTGATGTCACGAAACTGTAATTTCACTATTCACAGTTGATTTTCATGGACTTTGCTTGAGAACTTCTTGCATATGTTTTAATTTCAAGCTGCCAGGAGAGGGAGTGAGACACTGATGATTTCAAAAAAAAGAACTGGGACTCTAGATCTTTGCCTTGCAAACTGAGCTTCGCAAAGTTCAAGCTGTAAACCAGCGTTAGAAGTACTACTACTGCAACACTACTCTGCTGTAAAGCAAGTCCATGTGTTAAATTTACCCAGAAACTTAACCTGAGATACTGATAGAGACATTCTTGCCTACAGCTCTTTTTCCAAATGACCCTCAGAAATGTCTTTTCTCAAAAATTTCTGGGGATCAGTCTCCAGATATTCTAGCCTTTTCCTTCTCCCCCAGTACTTTTCTTCAAATTCCATCTACATTGAATTTTTAAAATTCATATCAATTACTTTTTTTTTTTTTTCATCAATATTAATGTCTTTTTGCATCAAAAGAGGGATGGCCAGCAGGGCAAAGGAGGTGATTGTTCCCCTCTGCTCTGACCTTGTGAGGCCTCAGCTGTAGTACTGTGTCCAGGCCTGGGACCCCCCAGCACAGGAAAGACATGGAGCTGTTGGAGCAAGCCCAGGAGAGAGTCAAGAAGATGATCAGAAGGCTGAAGCACCTCCCCTATGAAGACAGGCTGAAGGAACTGGACTTGTTCAGTCTAGAAGAGAAAGCTCTGGGGAGACCTCATTGCAGCCTTACAGTACTTAAAGAGAGCTTATTAATAGGAGCGAGGCTGACTTTTTACATATTCTGAGAATGGTAGGACAAGGGGGAATGGTTGTAAGGGAGAATGGCTTTAAACTAAAAGAGATGAGATTAGATGACAACAGGAAATTCTTTACTCAGAGAATGGTGAGGAAGTGGCACAGCTGCCCAGAGAAGTTGTGGATGTCCCGTCCCCAGAGGTGTTCAAGGCCAGATTGGATGGGGCCCTCAGCAGCCTGAGCTGGTGGGTGATAGCCCTGACCCTGGAACCAGATGGCCTTTAAGATCTGTCCAATCTAAGCCATTCTATGATTCTATGACTTAATGCCTTTTTTTGTTTGTTTGTTTGTTTTGTTTTAATTTCTTTAGGTTTGAAAGTGTGAGTGACTTTACCTCAGAGCTAGAAGACAGTGATGACCCAACGGCATATGTCACCAATTTGACATACTACCATCTGGTCCCATTTGAGACTGATATTCTGGACTGAGACTGTTCAATGCCACAGTCAGCCAGCATCCAGCCAACCTCTTCGTCCATAAGCTCTGCTATCTCCAGCATTGCATCTCAGTGAATAAGGCTGTGCAGGCAAGACCAACAGCTAAGAAGCTGCAGCAAGTACACCACAAAGCTGGCTTTGTAGTCTGGCCTTCTGTTGTGTCTTGCAAAGATGTCTTGTAAGGAGGTAGCTGCTTCACTGTGAACAACAAACTCATTTTCCATGAAAACAAGGCAGCAGAGGCCTCCTGGGACTTGAGGAAATCCCTGCAATGTCTGTGGTAACTGCAGCTCTGATACAGCCACTAGAACTCGTGCTGTGGTGTGCTATCACCCATGCTTCTTGGCTTGCAGTGCAAGTTGAGGCTTCCTCTTTTAGGATACCACCAGAAACTTCCCCAGATGTTGTGCCCACTCTTTTTATGCTGTGTAAGTGAGAAGGCAAGCAAACCAGCTGAATTTTGTCAGTTCCCTCTGCAATTGCTTAATGGATGCCTTGAAGGTCACTTCTTGCTCAGCTGCCGGATGACTGGTGCCTTACACGAGACGTCAGAAACACCATTGAGTGCCTCTAGGATACAGTACACGAGCTGACTGCTTTACTTCTTTTAATCCTGGGTTTTTATGTAATCACCGAAGAGATGACTACTCTTTCCCTCTTTCCACGAGTAGTAAAGCAGACAGCAGCTGGCATTGCAATGGGCTACACACGATGTTTAGGTACCTGAATGATGTCAGAGATATGGAAAGCTGGTGGGAAAGCTGAGCTGCCCTGCTAAGGGCGGTCAAGGCTACGACAGGCACTTGGATATGAATTTTGTCACGTGGACCAGAAAATGTGAATGGTGCTTACAGTTGTTTACATCAGAGAGATAGTTCCCTATGTATGTTTCTACCCAGAGGATGGGGAGGAAGCCAATGAGATTGCGTGTTTGGACTGAAAAAGAACAATAAGCTACAGCGTGCCTACAATAGTAGGAAAAACACCCACTCCCAGGCCTGCCTGACTCAAAGGGTCTTTCTGGCTTTCTGAGATACGCCTGCAGGGCTGGGTGCAGGCTTTGTTGTCACGTGAATGCATTGGTGACAGTGGAAGCACGAGCAGGATTGCAACCTGCAACCTCTTGACTACTGAGTAGTGCAAGGTTAAAATCTCATTGGGGTCTCTCTCTTGCAGAGTGCTATGATCTCCAAGCTCTCATGGTGAGAGTTCAGCACTCACTGTCATGGCCTGTCGTTGAGCTTTTTGTGATCTAATTGCAAATATGAAATTGAAGGGATTGAAATGTGAAAGAGGACATTTTGAACATTTCCTTGTAGAGGGGCTTACGTTGTCCTGAAGAAGTTGGTACAACTCCCTTCCTTTGCAGACTTCTCATTTCTGTCTGTAGAATAACAGTCAAACAGCATTTGCTAATGTAAATAATAAATTATTTAGAATCCTAATTCTTTTACACAGTATGTTTTTTAAATATATTTTAAATGAAATAAAATATAACTCACTGTCAGTACACTTTGCAACTTGAGATGGTGGCTTCTTTCTTTTTCTTTTTCCATCTCTGAAGATTCTTTCACAATCATGCCGAATCCTCCTTGTTTCCAATAGTTTTGAAAAAATGCTGAGTTTACACGACTTCTCCTATGCTGCATGAGTTGCCTATACTGCCAATACCTTACATGCTCATGTGAAACGTCTTAGCCTCACTGTTGATCTTGTGTATAGGTGTATGTGGCTTAATGCCACTAAGTTCAGTGGAGGAATTCTGCACTTTTACAACCTTAAGTGAAAACTAGTCTGGCGCATATGCTTTTTGAAGATCATGGAGATCTTTGTACATTAAACTTCTGAAATAGAAGGGGATATGCCCATACTTGTGTAAGGCTTTCTGAACAGACTCTTGAGTTTAAAATGTGTTTCTTTGTTTGTTTGTTTGTTTGTCTTTAATTTTGTTAGTTATAATTCTTCAATTCTTTAGTGATTTAAGTTAATCGTGGTGGGTTAGTATCTAGTAAATAAATGTGTTGGATTGAGAGTTCAAATATTTGATTTCAGTCCCTGGTTCTACTGTCAGCATACCATGTTGCTTTTGGTGAATCTACTTTGTCTCCTCATGTCTTTCCTAGTATTATGTTTTCTAGAGCACCGAAGTGTCACTGTTTTTGGTCGTGCTCTTGTCCCCTGGTTTGTTTGAATGTTCTTAAGAATTTTTAACCCCATTATAATTACTTACCTTTTTCAAAGCACTTTAAGATCTATCATTTAAAAATGAAAGAGAAACACTGCTAATTTTTGAAAGGTAAAAACACATTCCTCATTTTAAACGGTTGCATGCATGTTGAAATCTTCATGGAAGGAGGAGTGTAATGAGAAGGAACTCATCTGCAAACAGAAGTTGCACCATTTTACTTGGATTTTTCAGAAGCTATTTTTATCAAGTATTTTCAAGTGGTGTTGCTGTGTAACTTATTTCACTTCACTAAAATCTATTTATTTGATAAATCAAAAGAATGTAAATGACTGTGTATATTGCTTTGTGCACAGAATCAATTTAAAATTACCTTTGGTTAAATCGCTGCAACTTTCTCCAGTGGACCAGGTCTCTACAACTGGGAGAGGTTCAGAGTATGAATTATGCATGTAGTAGGTTCATACATTCAAAATAGATCTGTGGTGAAGCAGTCTTTGAGGAATAAAAAGAAGCTTGCCTTTTACAATTCAAGACGCAGATTGTGTGTGCTCAAGGTTTTGTTAAATGATTATTAAGACAGTATTTAGAATCATAGAAGAGTTGATTCTACTGGAAGGGACCACAAGGTACCCTGAGTCCAACTGCTGGCTCTGTGCAGCACCACCAAACCTTATGAGAGCACAGTCCAAACATTCCTTGAACTCTGGCACTTGGGGCCATGCCCACTGCCCTGGGCAGCCTGTTCCATGCCCACCACCCTTTGGTGAAGAACCGTTTCCTAACCTCCAGCCTGACCCAGCCCTGAAGTAGCCCTATGCTGTTCCCTCAGGTCCTGTCACTGTCATCAGCGAGCAGAGATCAGCACCTCTATTTGAGTGAAACAGTAGAAAGTTAGAAATTTGAATTTAAGTTTCCAGTGGAGCCTTCTTGCTTGTGTATGTCATGGTACAGTCTTCAGAATTGTCTGCATTTCTGCAGGATTCTATTTTGACCAGCTGTTCTCCAGCTCATGTCTTAAAGTACTCTGAATTACTCTGTCAGGCCAGACTGAGTAATGTTCCTCCGCAGTGCTGGGGTAACAACATCACCACTGAACAGGCACACACTTCTCCTGTGTCCTGATAGATCTTCCTATGGTGCTTGGGCCACTCAGCTTCCCAGGTAATGTCCTCAGTGTTACACAAAAGTGAGAGGAGACCTTGGCCTGTAGGAACTGTCAGCTGAACCATCAAGCATTCAGAAGGTAATAAAAGATGGCAAAGTGGAGTCCCAAGTGCTCACTCTGCGGATCAAACATTTTTCTTCTTTTGGAATGACTCTTCCAGGTCACAAAACATCCTTGCAAGTGTTTGTTGGGCATCAAGGGAGAGTTTACATGCATTTTTCCCTTTTGGGGAATTTTCAAATCTTGAAACAATCCTTCACAGAAAAGAATTTATCTCACAGAAGTGAATACCTTAAAACAAACCCACAAAACATTTGGTGGGTTCTTCCTCTTCTTTCACCATTGTGGCTGTAAGAAACATTCTTGTCTTGCAGTTGCTTCTCTGCTGGGAGGATAAAAAAATGTCTTGAGAAACAGGAAATCATCCAGGCTTGTCTGCTCAAAGCATTTGCCTTAATTTTTTTCCAGGATTGTCACTGCACTGCTGCCACTCTTTCACGGTTCCCATCAGTCACAAGGAGCTCATTGCCACCGGACATCTAAATAGGCTCTGTCTGCAGAGCTCAAGGCTGGGTGGTCATACAAGAGCTCCTGGCTTACTCTTTGTCTAGGGGTGCTGGGAATACAAGCTGCTCTGCAGGCAAGGGCAGGGAGGACCTGGAGCACAGGCAGGTGTTCTCCATTCCTGTTTCACAGTAGTTGTATGGGAAATGGTGATTTCCATGGTCCAGTCCTCCTGAAAAGGAGTAAAATGATAGAGTTTGCATGGCTTGTGGTCAGGCAGACACTTAATGTATATTTGTTTGCCAGTTCATATAAACTGTTTGTGTAAATAGTTCATGTAAACAAGCCTTTGGAGGTATTCAGAGTGCAAAAGACAAAAGCCATCGGTGAAATACAACTCTAGTGTTGTAGTGCTTAGTAAGCGGAAAGAAACTTATCACTAGATTGGTTGCCTATCATAGAATTATAGAATGGCTTGAGTTGGAAGGGACTTTAAAGATCATCTTGTTCCAGCCCCCAGCTATGGGCAGGGCTGCCCCCACCAGCTCAGGTTGCCCAGGGCCCCATTCAACCTGGCCTTGAGCACCTCCAGGGATGGGGCACCACAGCTTCTCTGGGCAGCTGTGCCACTGCCTCACCACTCTGAGTAAAGAATTTCTTACAACTTCTCACCTAAATCTCCCCTCTTTTACTTTAAAACCATTCTCCCCTGTCCTATCACTATCAGAATATGTAGAAGTTGTCTCCCTCCTGGTCATAAACTCCTTTAAAGTACTGGAAAGCTTCAACAAGGTCTCCTTGCAGCCTTCTCTTCTCCAGGCTGAACAAACCAAGCTCCCTTAACCTTTCTTCATAGGTGAGGTGCTCCAGCCTTGTGTTTACCTTTGTGGCCTCCTCTGGACCTGCTCCAACAGCTCATTCTTGTGTTGGGGGCACCAGATTTGGATGTAGTACTCCACCTGTGGCATCACAAGGACAGAGAAGAAGGGGACAATCCCCTTCCTGTCCCTGTTGGTCACGTCTCTTCTGATGTAGCTCAGGATGTCATTGACCTTCCGGGCTGCAAGAGCACTCTGTTCTTGTCCATGTCCAGCTTTTCATTCACCAGGATCCCCAAGTCATTCTCCATAGGGCTACTATCCATGAATTCTCCCAGTTTGCACAATTAAATACCTGGGGTTGTCTCAACCCAATTGCAACACCTTGCACTTGGCTTTGTTGAACCCTATTGTATTTCACATGGAGCTACTCCTCAAGCCTGTCCTGGTCCCTCTAGATGGCATCCCTTCTTACTGTCCTATGAACTGCACCACACAACTCGGTGTTGTCTGCAAACTTGTTGAGGATGCACTCAGGTTGCTGATAAAGATGTTGAAGAGCACTGGTGCAAAGATGGACCCCTATTTGGACTCTTGCTTGACTGCTGGGACTGTGTAGTTGCAGCTTCTTTGCAAAGGGCTTTCTCTCACATTGGCAGGTCCTAGGTGTAAGAAAGGGGGTATAGGACCTGAATCAATGGCAAGCTTTGTGCCTGGGCAAAGACCTCATAGCTAAAGCGTAAGGATTTCTGGTCCTGGTGCCTGGATAACAATGTATAAATCAGCCTGCAGAAACACTCCTTGTAGTCCTTTGCTTAAGTGCTTAACGTCTGCTATGTGTAACTTTTTATCCTTTTCATTAATTGGACACGTTGGGTATTCTTCCTTTTCTTTCCTGCATTTCCAGTTTCTCAAGCTGAAGGTAAGAGCACTGGGGACAGCAGGGCAGGCCCAGCACCTCCTGGGTACAGGGACAGACCAAAGTTGGGCCAGGCCATGGGCTTTTGAGTGGGCCTGGCTGGGCAGGGTTGGTGGGCAGGCTGTGGGGAGCTGGGGCCCTGCACCCTGCAGCATGATGGGGCAGGGGCTGAGGGCCCCAGGGCTGATGTGGGGCTCTAGGCCATAGGGGTGAGCAGCACAGTGAGGCCTGTGGGTGGACTCTGGGCCTGCATGCTGCATGTCAGATTTTTGCAGGAAGCAACTTCAGGGGTGCAAAGCACTACCATTCATCTCAGTGTGTGCTGCATCAGAAACTTGATATCACTCTATGCAACATCTGGTCCATCGCTCTTTTTGTTATTATTTGTTATAGCTGACACCTTTAAAAAGCTCAGCCTTGATTCCAAGGCCACACTTTATAGCAGGAATAGTCTGTAAGTCAGCACCAAACTCTCTGAAAAAATAGATGACTATTTTCTCATTGCTTCCTACAATAATGCTCATTCCTGTCTCAGTCAGCTACCTCTGAATTCCCTTCCCCACACACACACAAATTATTCAAACTATTTACCAGTCAGCTTTCATCAATGTAATTGCTTTCTTATGGAAATATTCACACCCTGAAGTGCTGTTCCCAAGTTTTATAGCACACAGAACATTCTCATTTTCCCTGTTGTCAGGTAATTTCTTCTTGCTCTAAACCCGTTCTCATTACAGTTAATACTGTTAGCAATACATACATTGGGGGATTTAGACAAGGGAAACGCACCAAGGTAATACTGTATAGATAGATAGATTTAATAATGGGAATTTGTGCTCACATAAAAGATCAGAACAACAGTGAAGATGTGGAGGTTGTTCAGATGCATTTTTTTATTGAATTGTACTAATTCAGAATTCTTCGGGGTCTCCCAGGCACTGCTCACATAGCATCTATCCTTACAGTTACAGCTTATAACCCCACATGCACTGGTGAGAGAGAGAACAGCTCAAACTTCCATATCACACAGGGCAGCATCAAGAGGTAGCAAGGACAGGATTTTGCAGTGCTTGGTTTTGGCCTAGTGCTAGCAGGCAGATGCCTTGTATCATAGGACAGGGTTGCTACAAAGGTTTTCCTGTCATTCTTTGCTTGAAAGGCTGCTGTTACGGGAACTTGTTGGGAGGTAGAGAAAAGCTCCTTCACATCTAAAGATACTCTATGTAGTAGTAAAATTCACTTTTTGCTGCCTGGCGAGATTGCCTGCATCTCTGAACTGAGGATCTGACTCGTTCCAGCTGTAAAGGGGCCCACTACTGCCAGCAGGACATGGATGAGACCCCAGCCCATGCAGCAGGAGTGCCCTCAGCACCACCTTCTGGTATTCTCTTCTAACCTTACAATACACACAGCATTGTGGGGGCCTGCAGGCAGCTTTGTAATTTCCATAGGGAGGTTAGTTTCATTTAGCATTGTAGTTTAATTTGGAAACCATCTGCAAGCAATCATGACCTCTTGCTTGGCTGTATCACCTTGGTACAAGGTGAAACTGGAGATATAAATAGTTACACACAGCAGAAAGCAACTTGCTTATGTAAAATGAAGAAAACAACACCCACCACCACTCCCAGAAGAACAACTGTAGCAGAAATGCTAAATCATGGCCTGAACCACTGATTGAGCACCTGGTGGGAAGGCAGAGGAGCTCAGGTGTAAGCAGTGCAGCTGAGTGACTGGAAGGGGTGGAGACAGAATGGACCCCTTACCAGACCTCATTTAAGTGCTGGCAGTGGAAGTGAGGGTATTTTGCTGGCGTTCTCTATCTACCTGAGGATCTTCTGGGCCTTGTGAAGGTAAGCAGTTGTGTCGTTTGTTTGTTTGTGTTGGGTTTTTTTTTCTACTTGTTTATATGCCTGCTGCTATTGTATCTAAGTTGATCTAAGTAGACTTCGCTGTTCTGCTGTCTTGTTATGGTTTTTATTGTGTTGTGACAACAGCTGTCTATTATTTTCCCTTGTAACTATTATGGCTATGTTGAACAGAATTCACGACGATGGTGTTCTCCTGTAGCGATATTATCTGGGTGTAGAATCATGCATTTCCTTGCTAGTTATCCTGCAAGGAATGGTGCTGTCCTGGTTGGCCTTGTTGGAAGAAAATCTACTGTGTGTGATCAGGAGCCCTTGTATAAGGTGAATGTGTTCTCCTTTGTAGGAATAGACGTTTAGCAGCAACAAAACTTACTGTGTTTATCCCTTAAAAATGCTTGGCACAATTCATGTAAAGGATTTATCTATTTCAGCTTTTATTTCATTTCGTGCCTAGGTATCCTTTATTGCATACTTCATTTCTCTGTAGGACTAAGAATGTATGTGGGTGCAGGTGCCATGGCCTAGAGGGTACTAATACCTCTGATTGACCTGATACCCCTATCTGGGTTGTCCCCACCCCTTACTAGGCTCTATTTCAGTGCAACCTAGCTGAAAGAGCCTCTGCTCCTGGGTTGCTCTCTGACCTGGCTGGTGCATTGCTTGGTGCTCATGGGGTAGCTGGTGAAGACCCCTTGCTGTCACCACCTTGTTCTGCTCACAGTGAGTTCATCTGTTCTGCTTGTGATAAACCACATCTTTACAAGCACTTGCTAACACTGGTGTGTATGTACCTTTCTGTTATAGAGGAGTTCTTCACAGTGATATCTAAAAATATTATTTTTGGGTGTTTTTCATCTTGAGAACACAGACGCTTTATAAACACTGATGTGACATTAATATCTGTGAAGATTTAATAAGCTATTAGGCTTTAAAGTAAAATGAAGTATGTTCATGTGTAGCTTCTAGGAATGAGCAATGTACAGGTTTTAAGGCTGACACTGGGTTACTGGAAGCTTTCCATGTTTATTTTTTGTTGGCGTGTAACTGTGGAGTCTGCACA